TCCAGATTATAAATTAAGGAAATATGCACATCCTCTGCTTTGTTGTAGTGTTTCTGGTTTAGTGTGGGATAATCCAGATTTTAAAATTAAGGAAATATGCACATCCTCTGCTTTTAAGTCTCTGCTATTTTGAGTGCAGGAGCCCATGGCTGCCAGTAAAAGCCAGAATTTCTCATCCTTCTTACAAACTCTACTGTGCAGAACATCTAAATTCATTAAATTGAGGACTTAAGAAAGGCATGTTGCAAACACAACAGTAAAACATTAGAAATATTTTTACGTTTTGATGCTTTCAGAGTCTTATTCAGTGTCAAACTCCATTATTGTTTACAAGCACCACCATTTTGCTTTGGAATTGAATTAAGGCCACATCTCAGCTGGAGACAACTTCCATACAAGTCCAGAACGAGACATCTAGAACAGCTGCGGAGCTCCTAGTGCTTCTCAACCTCTGCTCCTATAGAAATGTGCAGTGTAGCTTATTTAAAAAGTCCAGAACAAGACATCTAGAACAGTTGCAGAGCTCCTAGTGCTTCTCAACCTCTGCTCCTATAGAAATGTGCAGTGTAGCTTATTTAAAAAATAAATGAATAGAGAAGAAAAAAACAGAAAAGAGAAGAAAAGAAAAAGAAAAAGAAAAAGAAAAAGAAAAAGAAAAAGAAAAAGAAAAAGAAAAAGAAAAAGAAAAAGGAAAAGGAAAAAGAAAAGAAAGAAAAGGAAAAGGAAAAACGAAAAAAAAAAGAAAAAGAAAAGCGCTGTTGCTTGAAATCCACAGTACCACAGTTGGACGTGCTATTGCTTGAAATCCACAGTACCACAGTTGGACCAGAAAAGGGTAGAGTAAATCAGTGGTTAACACTATATAGTAATTCTGCCTCTAGAGGGCATTACAAGCTAAATGTTTTCTCTGACAAGTGTTGAGAGCATCTTGGATCAACCCACAAGATGGTTCTTAAATTACCTAAATTAAGAGATTTTCTGTGTTTACAACATCAGCTATGTAGGAGTCAAACAAAATTATTGGATAGGAACACTGAAAGATCCTTAATCCACTGAGTAACAGCAGATAGGTTTGGTAAGAAAAGATGTTACCAGATGTTTTTTAATATCCCTGAAACTCCTCATGCGATACACTGTGTGCAACTTTTAGCACATTGCTGTTCCATTTTAATAACTTTGCCTGCATCCTTTTTATGAGTGTGTGATCCTCAGTGGTGGTTAAACCCAAAGATCATTGATCATTACCATAGATGCTTTGAATCCTTAGCATCTAGCATGTAGGCCACTCTATGATCTATACAAATTGCTCAGGTATCAGTGGACATCAAAGTATTATGTTCCATGCTTTTGATGTGTTATACAAAAATACTGAAGTGATATATCAGACCTATTCTGTTAGTGAGCTGGTATGGCAGGTTCTTCCCAGTAAGTGCTGCTTCCTAAAGGTGTTTGATAAGCCTCTTCAGCCATGCAGTATGAAAAAACCCAACAGTATTTTTTTTCCTCTGTACACAGGGACTAAATCAGTCCAAATCGCAAAAAGTATTTGTGTTTCTGTGGCTGAAAAGCAAGGATCATGCGTCTTGCTGCATGCTGAAGGGCATATTTTAGTATTGCAGAAAACAGCAACCAGGTCACTTTGGTATAATTTGGCTATGTATGTTTTACTATTCACATTTGTTCAACCACAACTGACTGATACACATTTAATGGGGCAATTAGAGTAATTATGTTTCTTTTCCTGAACACTGATATATAGCTTCTCATATTTGTCCATTTCTCTGGCATCACAGTGATGCTGTGAGTAGTTTGCTAAATGTCATAGCTAACTATATTTCTAAGAGGCTTCATATCTTGCAGACTCAACAAGATCCATAAGTCCATTTCAAGTTTTCAGAGTGTTCCTTCCCTGGTGCCTTTATCTATATCAATTCTGTCATGTTCTTGGAATGTTATAAAACAACAATTTTATTAATAAGGAAAACCTACAGTAAACAAAATATTAAAAATACATTATTCAAATATATCACAAAAAGTAATTTGATAATTAAAAGTCATACAATAAACTGTATGAATAGGAAAGACAAACCAGAGTAAAGTAAAATAACTTATACAATCACTTAGCTTTTATATTTGTAGACAGACTTGTTACATAATGACATCATCAAAATGTTTACTGTCTTGTTCACTATATTATTGCAGTGAATAAAAATATCAAAATTTCAGATTTCACTGGCTTTAGATAAAAACTGTAAGCTTGCTGCATGCAAACATTTTGATTTAAACAAGACAGCAAACCAAAACTCTCTTTGCCTGACAGACACATTCAGTTGTTTGCCACAGAGGGTTACCAAATGGAAGTAGTAGTTTGTCACAGAATCACAGAAATTAGGTCCTCACCAGGACTAAAATTTGTCTTTTATCCCTTTTTCTTTATAGTGCAGAGTTCTAGCATTCATTTCCAAATTATTTTTTGAATCATTCATGATGTCCAATTTCTTTACATAGTAAAAACTTACTGGTGTCTCCTGGGCTGTATTATGTATTCTGAGCTTCTTTTGTAAACAAGATAGTCCAACATGCTGAAGATATACCAAGACTGACTTCTTAAATTATTATTAGCTGTTTCTTCTAATATTGGGATGTTTCTCTTTCAGCCTAATCCATATTTAGAAGAAAATATAGGGGCAGATTCTCTAGCCCATACTTGCAAAGGTTTCTGGACTGTGCAGCATCTGCATGGGAGTTAAAAATAAAATTTAAAAAAAAAATCAAGATCCATCTAAACTTTCATAGATTGATATGCTTTTATATTTAAAAATATCTTCAAGCTAATCCTCTGCTAACTCTCTGCATGTGTTTATATGTAGTTTAAGAGAGTAATAGAAAAAATAAAAAGCCTCTAAATAATGGAAGAATTGGTAGAGGTCCCACTAGAATCATTGTCAAATGGTTTGTATAAATGTATTGAATAAGTGTGAATGCACTTAATGAGAAATTATAGGATTCTGGGATTATAGTGTGGCCACACAAAATAGTTTGGATGTCATATGACCACAAATTCCATAAACTCTATGTGAACTCCAGTTAAAGAAAAGTATTGGATTCCCTATGAAATATAGTTGGCAAAAGAACCCAAAAACCCAAACCTGGCAGGTAATATGGTTTCTATTGTATTAATTTTATGGATGTTTATTCAGCTGATAAAATGTGTTAGCAGGTTTCTGGGAAATAGCTTGGTGCTTAGAAAAAAAAAAAAAAAGGGGGGTTTTTTTTCTGTAAGAGGAGGAAAAGTGTATCTGTATCAAACAATTAAAGTTAGAAGTGTTGGTTTTAACCTCCATCTGTCTCCAGACCCTTAGCTATGAGCACTGCTGCCAGTGCACTGCTGGGCTGCATAGTAGGCTTTGTTTTGTCCTGGGGTCAGAGATACTGGAAGGAAGAAAGAGAAAGAAAGATTAATCTGATAAAGGCATTGAGATTTCTAATCGGACTGATGGGAAACTGTGGTATGAAGTTAAAGAGGCAACACAGGGTGAATTACTGTGATGAACTACCTTAAAGCTGAAGCAATCAAATAGATAGCTCTCACATATAAAAATTACTGTGGCATCTTTATTCATCAACAGTTTTGCACAAGTGTCTCATGTTCAATCCCTTCCACAAACAACTAAAGCACTCTGGTACATTTGATGAGATTAAATCTTATCGAGGAGACTCAGCCACTGAGGTGGCTGCTTCTCACTTCCCAGACTTAATTTCTTGTTGTCACGGAGAAGAATAAACTTTTCAAAGCTTGAAAATGACAAACTCCAAAAAGTAATACCACCACAGTCAGATGCCTACACTCGTAGCCTACTGTAATGGAACTTAAAGTGCTTTTGCTCTTGTGTATGTTAGCAATAAAACTTTTTCATGTGGACTGATAGCTGAAAACCTGAGGAAGTGAAATTTGTGACTCCTAATTCAGAAAGTATTCATGCAAACAGACATGTCATGGAGGTTTTCTGTACATTTATAGGTGACAAGAGAATCACACAACAAAAGCCTACCACTGAGTAACAGATAAATAGATACATTTGATTCAAATATAATCAAATTATATGAAAGGAAAACATGGTATCCTAGGTAATTCGGGGTAAAACTCCTGTAAAAATTCACTCCCATGATTTTAAGAATTAGCTTATGATTTGTTCTTAAGAAATGTTGAAGTCTTCCCATGATGCTGAATTCTTTGAGTCTTTTGAAGTGAATATGCCCTGAAGATACTTGATATTTTGCAGGGTTACGTGCTAGTGAACACAGCAAACAAACACCAGTTTTGTGTGATCAAACATGTTCTTCCTTGCCAAGCATCACGTAATTATGTACCCACATATCAGTCTGCTTAACACGGGATTAGGAGTAAATGCACAGCTATTGACAAAGAAAATTAAGGGCATATAGAAAATCTGATCTAATAATAAGTTCTATATGTTGTTAGAAATTTATTTTTTCAACCTATCCCAGAAGAGCTAAAAGAACTTAAAATAGTATCTTTCGTGTAAATAGCCTATCCTGTCCTTCTGAAGAGATGGATCAGTATCCAAAAAGGATATATACAAACACTGAAAATAGTGAACGATGGTGAACCAGATACATATGCAGATGTAACTTTTAAACATTTTTTCCTTTTTTTAATGTTAACCTCACGTACAAATCTGTAATAAATACAATGTGATTCCAGGTCTTTTACTTGATTACTCTGGTTTTCTGTCCTTGGGTATTTGCATTAAATAAAATATAGCATTTTCAGAAATAATTTCCCTAAAATAATACTGGGAGGTTTCTGGCAAAAAAAAAAAATAAAAAAAAAAAATTATAAATCTTGGAAGCTGAATTGTTTAAAGATCAAACAAAATCAATTAACACTACATCAGACATAGTACACCTGACTCTACAGAAAGAGTATTTTATGGGACATTCAGCCAACATACTCCTGTGCATTTGCTGAAATACATTTATTGATTACTTATCAGGCCTCTTATATTGTGTAGTTTACAGGACAATTACACTATTTGCCCAGCTCTGGAATAAGTTTTTCCAAACTTTTCGAAGAGAACAATCGACGGTAACACTGTTTGGAAGTCCTAAAAAATAAGAGAGACAAAAAAGAGTTAAGTTTAGCTTTCATGGTTTTACCTTTTTTTTTTTTAAAAAATGTATTTTAGAGCTCTAAATATTGTCTTCTAGTTACATTTCATTATATGATTTAGAATGCAATTATGCAAAATAATGTATATGAAACATAGATTTTTACATTATATGTACATTACTTTGAAGAAGAGCTCAAGAACTGATTGATTTAATTACAAGCAAATATGTATTTCAAACTATAAGTAACTATAGGCACTGCTGAAATTCTCTGCTCCAGAACCTAAATTTATAGTATTTTGCAAATCACAGTTACAGAATTATATTCTCCACCCTGGCAACCAGGTAGGCTGAAGACAGCAACATATCCCTGCAATATTTTAACTTTTCTACCTTGGTTAACATTAAAACATGGATATTAAACCAGCTCCAGGAGAAATGGCAAAAAAAGAAATACATATTCAGTAAGTATTAGTGGCAACAAATTGATTAGGCGTTCTGGTAGAAAAAAAATACAAGCAGGGTGGTTCCTGAACATGTATTTTCCAGGAGAAGTTCTTGGTTACTACATTCAATTTTTTAAAATGCAAATGCTTATAAATCTAAATTTAATAAGAGAAATGCAAGTGAACTTGTGCCTTAAGAATACAATGTAAATATAGTCAACAAACAAGAAAGTAAAATAACCTAAGTATTCTAATCAGTATTTTGATTTAGCTTCTTACTAGTAAACACTCATGGCAAATTATTAACAAGTCTATGGTGTTTAAGATCAAGGTTTTAAAGCATTCTTAATAGAATTATTTTCTTTGACCCTGAAACACTAGGAATGGTTTTAGCAGTACATAATTTTTATTTTGCATTAAAATTGTTTTCCCTATTTGAAAATAACATGCCACAGAGGAATTACCAGCTTTCTAGGATCTGATAATTAATTTTTAAGAAAGAAGTTGGTCTGAACACCTTCTACTGATTTCTGTTGTCAACATGATGCTCTCTGAAAGCGCATGGAAACACGTCTCTGTATAATGTCTGAGGCCATGAATGAATGCTAAATTTTTTACATTTTCAACGTATTTCACAATTTAAAAGGTTTGGTTTTCTCTTAAAAACAGAATGAAAACTATTTCTTTTTCTCTGAAAAGTGATGTGAAGCAGAATTATAATTCCCTTGGTAATTTAGGATGAGCTACTTCACAGACCACAGTTAAGCTGAATCTCCGTGAACAGAGAGCAGCTATGACTTCTGGTAGGCTTCATGCAAACACTGACATGGCCCACTTGAGTTTCATCTGCACTGCGCATTGCCAAACTGTGACCATATAATTTCTTACATCTCATACTTAAAGTTATTTGGTGTGATTCCTCCAACAATCTGGTGCATAAATCTTAAAATAGCAAGGTAGACATACATTTGAAATTAAATAATCCCTGTGTGGTGTGAAAGTGAGTATCACCGCATTCTTAACTGTTCACAAGATTTAATCTTTACTGTTTCTCTATGCCTTCTACTGTCCAATTTCTTACCCAACATAAACAGCCTATTTGCATATTTTCATATGATACTTTAAGAATGGCACAGTATTTAATTTTCATTATGTGTTTGGCATCTCAAGCACCTGCAGGAAAAGTTGTCCATATAATTATTATAATAAATATTATTATAACCCCAGCATAACTGCAAATAATTTACTTCTAAAGTGAAGCTAGTTATATTTAATTCAGCAAATTCACCAGGCTAATATTGTTCATGGGAATGGGAAAAAAAAAAAACAAACAACCAAACCACTCTAGTTGCTGAGAAAGAAACAGATAATACAGCTATTCTTCAGGATTAAGCAGTAACTCAGAGCAAAATACAGTATCCTATATTTTGAGAATATGAAGTATATTTTTAATATACACACAGGACAGTTAGGTACAGTTTAACAAAAAAGCAGTAAACTTGGGGTGAGACAGAGAAACCAGTAAAAGGTGTACACCCCCCACATCAGGGTAAAATCAGGAATGGTGAGTCTGAGCATTGAAGAAGTCTTCATTTGCTGGAGCAGACGGCTTTTGCTATTAGGATGCCTGGCCAAACAAAAACAATTGGCTGCCAAAATTAGCTCCTTGGGACGATTTAGGAGCCTTTGAAGTGAACAGTTTTTTGAGCTGGAACTAAGCCCAGGTCCAGCTTCAAACTCAAATCAAAATGACAAAGAGGAAATTTCCTGTGCCACACGCCCCCTCAGTGTAAGATTACTTCGGTCTGGCAGCTGTACTGTTTATCTTGTTATTTAAAGCTATTTCACTAGATACTCACCACTGAGCATTTAAACAACTGGCTCCCATTATGACAACAGTAGTTATGTTTGACCACATTTACGAAACATCACACAGTCTGATGGATAAATAAAAGTGTTGCTGGCTTTACAGTTAGACTAATTAAAGAAGTTTAGAATGTGTACTGGATAAATGTTGCACAGTATACATATAAAATATAAATATATTTTTAGGAAAAGAACCCCATCCATTTCTGTATTTGAAGGTACAGATTTTAATCAGGTTTTGACAGTGTGAGAAAGTAAGGCCTGAAAACAACACCTGGCCTTGCAAGAGCTACCTCACAGCTCTGAAGAGGGTCTGCCCCACTGTGTCATTGTAGCAGCATAAAGGGAAAGGTGAAGGGAGACAGGTTCTCGTGTCTGTCTAATTCAATGGTGAAATGTAGATTCAAATCACACAGTGAAGAGCTGCAATGCACTGCTGGTTGATTCTGAGACACTGCCAGGATCATCTTGAGTTTAAGCTGATTGCATCATAGCATAGAAATTACGAAGCTAAGAAGATAATCCCTTTGAAGCTGTTCACAAGAACAAAAGTTGCGAATGGAGGAAAAAAGGCTTCCTCAAAATTATTTTCACCCTCAGACCCTCATTGTTGGTTGCTGGAATGAATTAGCTTACACATATGAATTCCCACATATTAGTGAGATTGACCCTACAGTTCTGCAGTCTCAGGATCATAGGAGCATGGGGCTGAACTTTTTATGGAATTTTTCCACAAAGCATTCTTAAATCGTGCTATATAATTCTCAGCATTGGAGACTTGTAATTCTCAGGACAGAGAACTATTTTTAAATTCCCAAATGAAGTTAATATAACACTTCCTTTTTAAATTGGCTGAGCTTTGACTCCTTTCACTCTAGTAAATTGTGAGGGACTCAAGTTCAGCTGACGGAGCTTAACAAGACCTATGGACCCTTTCAATATATTTGACTACTTGGCTATCACATGCACTTGTCAGTTCTAAACAATGGAGTCAAAAAGGTCACAGAAAGCTACCAAAGGTTTGTCTCAATCAGCACACTCTGATGTCATAGATTAGACTTGCCAAATGCTCACCTAGTTTTTATTTGGAATGTTATTAATAAAGCAATTTCTAAAGAGATTTCACGTCTGAGTATGCAGACATACACAAATACTGACCATGTACAAATAACATTGGCAAAACAACGAGACCCTGTAGATCTACATATCAGTTTGAAAGCCTTTCAAAATGTGCTCCCTCGTATTCTAGTGATAAATTTACACTAACATTGTTTCTTTACAAACAATTTAGAGTACTGTACAATTTCCTGCAATATAAAAATGCACTTTGGAATGGGATAGGAATCACCATTCATTGTCTTCTTGGAAATTTCATCAAGTAGAAAGTCAGCTGCTTCAGACCAAAGCAAGAATAGGCAAACAGCAGTAGCATATCTGTTCATATATTTTAAAGCCAGAAAGTACCATTATGACCATTTATGCTCAGCTCCCATGAACATACTTTGGGTGCTTTCCTATAGCAAATCTGTCCCATCCATAATAATTATGAAGCTGTTAGGTACGTGATAAACTTGGAACAATAAGCTTACAATAAACTTATGATACCCAATTCACAGCTTCACATAGTCTTCCTCTGTAATGACAAAAATTTCACTTTGTTGCATAGAGATTTGGTTGCATAAATGGAGATTAAAGTTACATTCAGTTGCATGAATGCAGATTTCCTTCATAGGTTAGAAGTAGCACATGAAAATGTTTCGAAGATTGATTGTATAATCTCTATAATGAAAAGTATTCCACCTGTAGTGGTGATTCAGAACACCAAGTCCTCTTCTCAGCCAGCCTAACAATACTGAAGACACTGTATAATTACATGATGTCAGCCATGACACCATATACTATGCAAAAGGTAAACCAATCCATGAAAGTCCTGGATCTCAGAAAAACTTCCTCTGTGGTGCTGGAATTGTATCTGTAGGTAACTTCTGTTAAGAATCAATGGCTGAAGTAATAACTGAAAAGTGGGCACACCTGCTAGAATCTTAATTCTAACTTCATGCTACTGAAGAGTAAAACAGGTAACAAAGTTCACTTTTCTTTAGCTTGAAATCTATATCCACAGGTACACATCAAGACTTTAGAGGGTGCAATGGGAAATCGTGCTTTCTCCACAAGGCTGGGACAGGACTCATGTGCACACCTCATTCGAAACCCAGGCAGTACTGCCAAGTGCCACTGTACAGTCATCGTCCACAACCCCCTCTGTTTAATACTAGGTGGTCATATTTAGTGTTCCCTATGATCCTAATGCTTGTAATAGTAAAATTAGAGTTTTAAATTGAGCTGTCATAGTAAGCCTGCTGACCTATTAATAGCTGTGGAGGTCTCTAACAAGGAAGCAAACCAGAAATGGCAAGCTGTTATACAAGTAAAATGTTGATCCAGCTAACTTTTATTCTTAGCAAATTTATCAATACTGGTTAACAATACTTCCAACTAGTACAGGGCCTTCTGACATGACAAAATGAGTGTAACAACCCATTCTGTCAATACAACACAAATGTCATTTCAAGTGCTCAAAACCCACTAAGCTACCCTAAAAAAGATTGATTTATCTGCTTCAGTGTTTCTTTGGGGCAAACTTTTCTCACAACTGAAACCAATTAGTGGGCCTGGCACTTGTA